CAGATTTTGATAAAACATTTAAAAATTTTCAAAATGGTTGGGCAGTGCCTGTGGCTCAAAGGGGTAGGGTGCCGGCCCTATATGCTGAAGATGGCAGGTTCAAACCCAGCCCTGGCCAAAAAATTGCAAAAAAAAAATTTCAAGATGGGAAAGAAAGTGCAGTAATTTATTGCCGCAGCTGTCCATCAGTGGTAGAAGATCACAGCAGGCCCACTGCATTGGTACAAGCATGTAAGCTGCTGGAGGTACAACCTTTCTCTCTCACTCAGGAAGGCAGGTGGATAGAGAGCCGCACTCTACCTGTGTTTGAAAGCCTTCTTCCTCAGGAGTTGGTGCTTGGACAACTACTTAGCCACATGCAAAAGAATCACGTTGGACCCCTATCTCATATGATCTACAAGAGTTAAAACTGGATCGATAACCTAAATGAAAGAGCTGAAATTATACAATTCTTGGAAGAAAGTGTAGAAGTAAATCTTCATCACTTTGGATTTGACAATGGATTCTTAGATGTTCTACCGAAAGCATGAGCAATAAAAGGAAAAACAGATACTGTGGACATCGTCTAAATCAAACACTTTGATTCATCTAAGGAGAATATCAGCTAAGTGAACAGACAGCCTAGGGAATGGGCAAAATATTTGCAAATCATGTATCTGATAAGCACAACTCAACAGTAAAAAGATAACTTACCCACTTAAAAAATGGGTATTTAAAGAATTAAATAGACATTACTCCAGAGAAGATACATACATAGTCAGCAAGTACATGAGAAGATGTTCAGCATCATTACTCGTTAGGGAAATACAAACCCAAACCCCAGTGAGATGCCACTTCACATGCATTAGGGTGGGAATAATAATAATAATAATAATAAAGGAAAAAAATGTTAGGATGCAGAGAAATTGGAACCCTCTTATTCTGCTGGTAGAAATGTGAAATGGTTCAACTGCTGTGGGTAAGAGTTTGAAGCTCCTCAAAAAGTTAAACATAGAATTACCATGTGACCCAACAAATCTTCCTAGGTATGTATCCCCCCCCAGTTGAAAACAGGTCCACACATGTTCATAGCAGCGTTCTTCACAGTAGCCAGAAAGTAAAAGCAACCCAAATGTCTATCAATGGACACATGGGTAAACACACTGTAGTATTTACATACAATGAAATATTATGCATCCATGAAGAAATGAAGTACTGATATAAGCTGTAATGTGGATGAGCCTTGAAAACATTATGTTAAGTGAAATAAGCCAGATGTGTCACACGTTCCATTTGTATGAAATATTCAGAATAGGTAAATCCACAAGACAAAGCAAATTGTTGGTTGCTAGGGGTTGGGAGGAGGAAGAATGGGGAAAATTGCTTAATGGGTACAAGGTTTCCTTTTTGGGTGCTGAAATATTTTGGAACTAGATATAGGTGGTGGTTGTAAAACACTGCAAATGTACTAGAGACCACTGAATTGTTCACTGCAAAACAGTTAATTTTATAGTATATAGATTTCATTTCAATAAAAAAAAGTCTGTCCACCATCACCACCCAGAAAAGTAAAGAGCTGGGCACGGTGGCACACACCAGCAATCCCAGCTACTCAGAAGGCTGAGGCAGAAGATGCTTGAGCCCACAAGTTCTAGATCAGCCTGGACAACATAATGAGACCTTGCCAGATTTAAAAAGAAAAAAAAAAGTAAAGTGTTCACCAACTTTGGTGCTTTAATTATTAGTAGTAATAGATGCTTGGTAGACAGCAGTATTTCAGAAGACTGTTATTGTGGATCACAGGTTGGGTCTACCTGCCAAGATTACTAGGTGGTGTCTGATTACAACCTCTCCTCTCCTCTTTGATGAGGGGAGGACTCCTAGCTGGGGATTTTGGGGGGGCATGCCTTGCTTGGGTAAATGTTTGAGGCCCACTGGGTGTTAGGCAGCAGGGAGGAGTGGGGATTAGGTGGAGGTGGGCTGTACCCGTGCCGTCTAAAGGCATTCACATTCAGACATCCCTGGCCTGATTCTTAGCCCTCCTCTTCATTCTGTCATCCTTCTAAGCCATCTGGCAGACTCATATTATGAAACTTTATAATTTCCATGGCTCCTCTCCATGGCACCATATCCTAGCTGCTGAAGGTTTGAGTCATGGGACTGAGCCCCACTGTATATGTAAGGGGAAGGCCTCACTCTGAGTCTTCTATGATGTGCCTCTCAGAGAAACAGTCAGCAGCTATGGGCTCCTCTCTCTAGAGAATGGTGGGTTTCCTTAGTGTCCCTTGCCCAGCAATGTGAATGCCTGTTTGTTGGCTCTACCAGAGAACGGGCAGAGTGGCGTAGGAGAGTCTGGAAAGGTTTCTCTTAATAAATGAGATAGAGGAAGGTTTTTTTGTTTTTTTCTTTAATCTGCCCAGGCATTCAGAGGTCTTGCCTGTTCAGGAAGGAGGTGGAGTAGGGGAGAGGGTGTGGAGGGCGGTGGCACCGTCCATTAGACACAGGAAGTGCCTGGCCCTGGTTTCTTTTGTGCTTCCAGCTCTTATGCTGGTAATAATCCCTCTTTACTGCTTATTTTCTGGAAATACATAGGACATAGAGTTCTTTGGCTCATGTCCTTTTAATGCGGAATAATCCAGTGGACATTTGTGGGGGGCAGGCAAAAATAGAGTATAGCTGTGTGACTTGAGGGACCTGCCTAAGGCCCCAGCCATTAAATGTCCAGCCCCACAGAAGGAAGACCCTCTTGGTACCCCAAATACCACCATCATGTGGATTCCTTTCTTTGTGTGCTGGAAGAGTTTGAGCTCCCAAGAGAATCTTTTAATGCAAATTCCTCAAAAAAAATAAAGATAAAGCCTTCGTTGGAGGCCCCCAGTGGGGGTCAGTGGAGAGCCAGCTGAGCAGGGGCAAGGCCTAGTGGGAAGCCCTGGGCGCGCACAGCCTGAGAACTAATCTACATCTTTTCACTGTTAGCTGCGCATCTGTATTTTTTTCTAGTTATCATTCTGTCTTGAGTAGATTCCTTTGTCTACACTCCCCAGTCTGACCCCAATGGCAGGGATGGGGAGGGAAGCTTTCTTTCTTTCTTCCCTGAATTTCTGAGTTCAAGCTCTGGGTTCCAAGTGACTCAGTGTCTGGCCCATAGGAGGCCACCTTTGCACCGGACTTTGGAACCACCCACTTGCGAGAATGGAGGCATGGCTTTCACACATCCAAGGAGCTCCCAGCTATCCACTCACGCAGAGTTCCTTGGCTTAGCTTAGAGCACGTGAGTTGACTAGTGATTTTGCTCTTTTCTGCAAGATTGGTTCCCACAAGGGCATATTTATCTCTGGGACTGTCACATGGGTGAGGTGACGGCGTTGGCTATTGCCCAGCAGGAGCCATGACGGTTCCCATGCTGAATGCTCAGGCATTAGAACTTGGGAGACAAGGACCAAAGGGTGACTACTTCAGTACACTTGCTGCTGCTGCTTGGGGCACATTCACAGAGAGCATCGTAGGTGTGAACATGTGTGTGCCCTCTGACCTCTCCAAGTTGTCTGCCTGTCCTCACAGGTGAGGTGAGTTTCCAGATTAAGAGGAAATCTCAGTGCCCAAAAGACGTGCTTTCTTAAGAGTTTAGGTAAAGTAACCTGGATAGTTTCATGCCAACTGTCCAGACACTATCTTTAAATACGTGGCACCAAAATGGATGCATTTTAGGTATTTAAGAAATGGTGTCTGCTACCGTCAATCTATGGCAGCTGGATACTGGACCCCACGGGAGAGGCCAGGAAGATGGCAGGAGGGTTCTGTAGTCAGTGGTTTCCTGGTGATTAATGCAGACTCTGGTTTCTTCTGTATTCCTTTCCTCTCCCAGTACTGATCCTCCAGAAGGTGGAGAATGGAGACCTGAGCAACAAGATTCTGAAGATCACTGATTTTGGCCTGGCTCGGGAATGGCACCGAACCACCAAGATGAGTGCGGCAGGGACCTACGCTTGGATGGCACCCGAGGTCATTCGGGCCTCTCTGTTTTCCAAAGGCAGCGACGTGTGGAGGTAAGGTCTGGAGGGGCAGGGAGGCGTCCCCCAGGTCTGTCTCAGCTGCACATTTTTTTCAGGACTTGGAGAGCTGAGGTTCCCAGACACCCCAAGTAGGTCTGAGTGATCCCCTCAAAGCCATCTTTGCTAATTTCCATATTAACAGGGAATAGTTTCAGCAACCAAAAAAAATCCGTATAATACTGTGGCAGGTCCTACCTCAGTACCTCTCTACCTTTTGTGTCTGTGACTGAGCCGTAGGAGAGGCCAGCAGATTCTAGGGGCAACCTGTGCTCCCCTCTCTGGCCTGCTGGGTGGTAAGGGCACTTTCCCCAGGGTCAGCCTGGCTCACTCAGCACCAGTGTTAGGCTTTAGTGCTGCTATGCTGGACTTGGGAAGAAGATTAACCTGGTGTCCTCACCATAAGCTCCTGAGCTAATGGGTTTTCTTTTTCCTGTCTCTTTTTCTCTTGGTAGCCTAGAATTGTCCTTCCCCATTATCTAGTTGGTCTTTTAGTCAAGGCTCTGTTAGATGTTGATCTAGAAATAGGAGATGAGTCCTAAGCATGCCCCAAGAGCGGCAGAGCCACAGACTAGAAGTGACCAACCATCCTCCTAGTAAATGTCAGCCCCAGAGGTCACAGGAACGTGGATCTAAAATGTCTTGTCCCCATAGAAGGAGGATGAGCTTCTGTGCTTCCTCATGGCTGTGGGCCAGGAGTAACATACCCTGGTATACAAAAGAAAGGGCTGTCAGCTGTCACTGTGCATCAGTCTGTGAAGTTACTGTTTCTTGATGTGTTATAAAGTGAGCTGTGTGTATGCGTGTGTGTGTGTGTGTACTTAAAAAATAACTTTATCAAGATATTATTCACATACTATAAAGTTTACCCTTTACACGTCATATGTCAATGGTTTTTAGTAATATTTACAAAGTTGTGCATTGACCCCTGTTGTTGTTAGTTTTCTAGCCTTGTAACAAATCACTACAAACCTAATGGCTTAAAACAACAGAAATCTATCCTTTCATTGTTCTGAAGCCCAGAGGTCTGAAATTAGTATCAGTAGGTCCTTAACCTCCACAGGCCCTAGGGGAAATTCTGTTCCCAATAAGGATTCTAAGTATTAGGGCACAGACCTATTTTTAGGGCCCCCACTTATTCTACTATAATCACTATTTCCAGGATAGCTCTCTTATCCAAAAAAGAAACCCCATACCTATTTATACTCATTCTTGTCTCCCTCCTCTCCGTACTCCCTCACAAGCAATTATTTATTTTCTGTCTCTATGGATTTTCCTATTCTGGACATTTTACATATATGGAATTGTATGATATGTGGTCTTTCGCGACTGGCTTCTTTTGTTTAGCATAATGTTTTCATGCATGTTGTAGCTTCTTTTTTCTTTTTGAGACAGTCTCACTATGCCCTTGGAAGAGTCTCATGGCGTCACAGCTCACAGCAGCCACAAACTCTTGGGCTTAAGGGATTCTCTTGCCTCAGCCTTCATAGTAGCTGAGACTACAGGCTCTCGCCACAACGTCTGGCTATTTTTTGTTGTTGTTGTAGTTGTCGTTGTTGTTTGGCAGGCCTGGGCCAGGTTCGAACCTGCCAGCCCCAGTATATGTGGCTGGTGCCCTAACTGCTGAGCTACAGGCACCAAGCCCATGTTGTAGCTTCTATCAAAGCTTCATTCTTTCTACGACTTCATAATATTCCATTGTGTGAATAGACCATATTTGTGTATTCATTCATCCATTGATGGATATGTGGGCTGTTTTCACTTTTTGGCCATTATGAATAATGCTGCTGTGAACATTTATGTACAAGCACTTGTGTAAAGACGTATTTTCACCTCCCTTGGGTCTATACCCGGGAGTGGAGTTGCTGAGTCACATGGTAATTCTACATTGAACTTTTTGAGGAACCACCAAACCTCTTCATGATGGCTGTCCCATTTTATATTCCCATTAGCAATGTATGAGGGTTTCAATTTCCCTACATCCTTTCAGCACTTTTTTTTTTTGCAGTTTTGGCCGGAGCTGGTTTGACCCCTCTGGCATATGGGGTCAGTGCCCTACCCCTTTGAGCCACAGGCACCGCCCTCATCCTTTCAACACTTTTATTGTCTGTTTAAAAAAAAAAAATTATTTTATTGTAGCCATTGTAGTGGGTGTGAAGTGGTATCGGATTGTGGTTTTCATTTGTACTTTGCTAAGCGACCAGTGATGCTAAGCATCTTTCATGTGCTCATTGGCCATTTGTGTGTCTTCTCCAGAGAAATGACTACTCAGATTCTTTGCTAATTTAAAAATGGGGTAAAAACTTTCAATTTTTATTGTTGAGTTATAAGAATTCTTTATGTTTTAGATGCGAGTCTTTTATCAGATACATGATTTGAAAAATTTTTTTCCATTTCATAGATTGTTTTTTCATATTTTTGATGCTGTACTTTGCACCATAAATTGTGGATATTTTGCGGGGGGGGTCACATCTAAGAAACCGTTGCCTAATCCAAGATCATGAAGATTTATAACTATTTTTTCTTAAAGAGTTTTATAAGTTTAACTCTTACATTAGGTCTCTGATCCCTTTTAACTTAATTTTTGTTTGTGGTGTGTGACATAGGAGTCCAACTTTATATTTTTCTTTATGTGGCTGTCAGTTTTCCCAGCACCATTTATTGAAAAGATTAATTTTTTTCCCCAAGATGTTTGTCTTATCACCATCGTCAAAAGTAAATTTACCAGAAATAGAAACGTTTATTTCTAGATTTCTCTGTTATTCTATTAATCTGTATGTCTGTCCTTATGCCAATGCTGCCCTCTCTTGATTAGACTTGAAATTAGGAAGTATGAGTTCTGCAATTTTGTTCTTCTTTTTGAAGATTATTTTGGCCATTCAGAGTCTGTTGCATTTCCTTATGAATCTTAGAATGATTTTGTTAATTTCTACAAAATAGACAACTGGGATTTTGATGTGAATTATGTGAAATTTGTAGTATATTTTCCAGGCTGTTGATATCTTAATAGTCATAATTTTTCAGTCTGTGAATATGCAGCGTCTTTCCATTTATTTCAGCCTTCTTTTAACTTCTTTCAGTGATGATTTGTAGCTTCTGTGTATTGAATTATATTCTACCGCACATTAATTACAGGGTGAAATTAGCTGATGAGAAGAAATGAGTTTTGTTTTCCTTAATATATGAGGTCTGACAATTAAGTTTGTAGACTCATTCTAGAAAAAGTACTTCATACCTCATTGCTGAATATCACTACGGTCACTAGATGGCTGAGGGGAAGACTTTGAAGGTGACTCAGCAATGAGGTACCTAGCACTTTTTCTGGGACAAGTTTGGGAACTTCCTTGTCAGGCCTCATACGACAGCAGCTCTGGTGGCCATTCCAGAAAAAGATCCCTAAAATTGCTTTGAAGGGTGGACTAGGCACTGGCATCGGTGCGCAGCTTCCCAAGGGGAATAAAGGTGACCCTAGCGATACTCAGCAGTGAGGGATGTAGCACTTTTTCTAGGATGAGTTGGCAAACTTACTTGTCCGACCTCATATATGACCTGATCCCATTAGGCTGAGCTATATGCTAATAGTCAACTATTCTTGATCTATAAAAACAGTGGCTTTAATTTAATATTTTTATTACTTAACCACATGCTAATGAGATTAGTCAATATGTTATTTATTTATTTATTTTTTACTTTTTATTTTTTGCAGTTTTTGGCCAGGACTGGGTTTGAACCTGCTACCTCCGGTATATGGGGCAAGCGCCCTACTCTTTTGAGCCGTAGGCACCGCCCTAATCCATATGTTAATTAAGCTAAGCTGCTATTCCAAAGAGACCTACAGATATGGAGGCTTAAACAAGATAGAAGTGTATATCTCTTTCAGGGAGTGGTCCAGACAGTCCAGGCTAGCAGGGCAGCCGTGCCCCAGGAGATTATGCCCCAGGAGATTATTCTGGACTGGGTTCTTTCAGGCTCCTGTAGCGCATTGTTCGTGCCTGAACGGCCTTTGAGTGACTGTTACTCCTGTTTTACCATCTTTAAAAGGGGGAAAGAGGGCTTGTCCACAGTGGCAAGAAGTTTCTTTTTAATTTGGAGACAAACCTGAGGTTGTGCACTCCTCTGCGCAGACCCCAAGGCCTGCCCTTGGTTATGTGGGCACAGAGGCGCTACATGACCCAGATGATGTAGGTGCTAGCTGGACAGCTGTGTGCCCAGCCAAAACTTCCACCTTGGACGATGGGGAGAGTGGATGTGGGGGACGCTCAGCTGCTTGTCACACTCAGCTAACTTGCTCTCAGCTTTCTCCATGGGAGAACTGACTTCTCAGGAGTGGGCTTGTTCCCACTTCCAGTATTCCCACTCGGTTTCTTCTCCAATGTGACCCTGCGATTGCCCAGGTTTGTTACCACGTACTCCAGGGGTTTCTGCTGGTGATGTTTTGGACAGAGTTGCATCAAACATCCGTGTGACGTTGCTAGTGGGAAGGGAAAGCCCAACTGCTGAATGCAGGGTCTCAGGGTCTCATGGTCTCATGGTGACAGAAATGGTTGGGTAGGGGAGGACAGGGTCCTTGGAGGGTTTGGTCCTCCATGGAAGGAAGAAGGGCAGGACCTTTCAATTTTTACCCAAAGGATCCTGCTTTCAAGACTAACCTCTAGCTCTTGCCCTTCACCCACTGATCCTGAAAGCAGGCTTGAAGCGCCTCCGGTGAGAGGAATCTGATGAAGTTGTTCTACTTTCTAAAGAGTAGCTTGGTGATAAACCCTCTAATCAGCACTGTCGGTGAAGTAGCTTGGGTATTGTCACGTGACATGTCTCAAGTTTAAAATCGTTTCCAGGACTTAAGCCACCTGAGGCAGTTTGGTTGGTGAGTGTTGTTTGAAAACATAGTTTGCCCAGCTCCCTTCCAGCATTCTTAGCTTCTGTGCTGCAGAATTTTCTGCGAGACACAATCTATCACCCATTAAATCGGTCTTTAATCCCTCACTCCTCAAATTTCC